AAAAAAAAAAAAAAAGTGAAAAAGAAAATGTTTAGACAATAAAGGCAGAAGGTAACTATTTTGCAATTTGTAATTAAATAATAAATTTAGACAATGATTATCAACAGCTGCTAAAACAATTACGGGTAATATTGATTGTGAACCTTGTAAGGAAGGGACAAGAGATCAACCCTATAAAATCATTAACAGTGAAATTGATCCATTTAATAGCATTCCAGGAAGGACAAGGTATTATGTGCCCCATAATCAAAAGATCCTGAAATAGGCTAGGCGCAGTGGCTCACACCTGTAATCCCAGCACTTTGGGAGGCCAAGACAGGTAGATCACCTGAGGTCAGGAATTCAAGACTAGTCTGGCCAACATGGTGAAACCCCATCTCTACTAAAAATACAAAAATTAGCCAGGCATGATGGCGGGCACCTGTGATCCCAGCTACTTGGGAAGCTGAGGCAGGAGAGTCACTTGAACCCGGAAGGCAGAGGTTGCAGTGAGTTGATATAGTACCACTGCACTCTAACTTGGGCTACAGAATGAGACTCTGTCTCACAAAAAAAGAAAAAAAACGGAAATAAATGTAGATGCGAATTTCAGAATTACACAGCACACTTGAAAATATCTGCCATTTCTTTTTCCCTGCACCAAACCTGGTCTACCCCAAGCCTGAGGCGATGTTCCTGCTCTTATAAAACTGAGATGAAACCAAAGTCACACAAAACCACATTCATACCAACAATCCTACTGAATAAATCAGACTTTCTCTACCTTAATGTTACAGCTCTCATGTGTTATGTTCAGGCTTGAATCCAATATAAAACATAAGCTTTTAAACATTCCTAAAATCATCAACAAATTAAACTCAAAACTCCACCTTGCTTTCTTAAATTACTAAACATTACTGTCTTCTATATATAGTGCAAGCAGCATCAATGGCAAAATCAAACTTGGTCTTTGTACCACTGGGCAGCAGAGCCATAATCCCGCACTCTACCTTAATTTACTTGTGCTTGATAATCCACTTATGTGGTTCCCAACGTAGAGGAGAGGCAGAGGAAATAGCTTCAATTAAAAAAAAAAAAAAAAGAATGAATATTTGGTTAGAACTCCAACAGGCATTTTCCTTCACATATAAAAATGGTGACAGATACTTCACCAGAGAGGATATTCAAAAAGGCATTAAAAAACAATTTTGGCAGGCTGTGGTGGCATCCCAGCACTTTGGGAGGCAGAGGCAGGTGGATCACAACGTCAGGAGTTCAAGACCAGTTCCAGCTTGGGCAACAGAGTGAGATTTTTTGTATTTTTCATCTCAAACAAAAAGAAAGAAAGAAAGAAAGAAAAGGTGCTCCTCCTCACTAGTCATCAGGGAAAAGCAAATTAAAGCCCATAAGATGTCATGACACACTCACCAGATTAGCAAATTTTATTTATTTATTTATTTGAGACAGAGTTTCATTCTAGTTGCCCAGGCTGGAGTGCAATGGTGTGATCTTGGCTCACTGAAACCTCTACCTCCCAGGCTCAAGCAGTTCTCTGGCCTCAGTCTCCTGAGTAGCTGGGATTACTGGCACCTGCCAGTACGCCCGGCTAATTTTTTGTATTTTAGTAGAGACGGGGTTTTGCCATGTTGGCCAGGATGGTCGCAAACTCCTAGCCTCAGGTGATTCACCCACCTTGGTCTCCCAAAGTGCTAGGATTACATGTGTGAGCCACCACACCCCGCCCAGATTAGCAACATTTAAAATGACTCGCATAGCAAGAATATGAAGCAACAGAGACTTTCATGCATGCTTGTCAGAACGTAAACTGGTGCAGCCACCATGAAGAACAGTTCAACATTACATATTGAAACTGAAGATATGCACACCCCAGGGGCCAGCAGTTCCACTCCCTAATGGACACATTCCTCATTCATATGCATTGTTATGGACTGAATCTTGTCTTTCCCCAAATTCATATGCTGAAGCCTAATCCCCAATGTGACTGTATTTGGAGATGAGGTCTCAACCAAGGTAATTCAGGTTACATGAGGGCATAGTGACAGAGCTCTAGACCAACAGGAATGGTGTCCCTATATGAAGAGAAGAGGGCAGGTACAGTGGCTGATACCTGTAATCGTAACACTGGGAGGCCCAGGCGGGAAAATAGCTTAAGCCCGGGAGCTCAAGGCCAGCCCTGGTAACATAGTGAGACCCTGACTCTCAAAAAGAAAAAAAACATAATTAGCAAGGCATGGTAGCAAATGCATCAGTCCCAGCTACTTGGGGGGCTGAGGCAGAAGGATCACTTGAGCCCAGGATTTCGAGGCTGCAGTGAGCTGTGGATGTACCACTGCACTCCAGCCCGGGTAGCAGAGCTAGACCCTGTTTCAAAATAATAATAATAAAAATGAAAATAGCCGGGCGCGGTGGCTCAAGCCTGTAATCCCAGCACTTTGGGAGGCCGAGGCGGGTGGATCACGAGGTCAAGAGATCGAGACCATCCTGGTCAAC